GCTGGAAGGACCGAGCAGAACAACAGCTATCTTTTCTGTAGCCAAGCTCCATCTGAGAAAGCTGGCAGTGCTCTACACCTCACTGAGGCCCTTTTGGGGCTCCCCACAGGTTGCTGCAGGACAGGACCGGCTGTCAGCCACCAGACCAGGCCAGACAGAGCTGCAGCCCCACATTACTGCAGAAGGGCAGTGACGGCTGCCACGTGAGCTGTGTGCCTGGAGGGCCAGGAAAACCCACGGGAATAGAGCTGTGACAGACAGGCTGTCCTCAGGCGGCAGTTATTTCACAAAGCTGCTCCTCAGCAACCCTTGGGGTCAGGAGGAAGATGATTACAGCCATAGGATGCCCGGGGTCAGGACGGACCCAAACCCCCCCAGCCCTGTGCAGTGGGCAGAGGAGATCAGGAGCACAAAGCCGTGAACCCACGCACTCCCAGCGCTGTGGGGCACCCACCCCCGTGCACAGCACCTCATCACCCCGAGCACGTAAACATCCCTCCTTCCCAATGGCTCTACCCAGCACTAAGCCGCCGCCCCTCACCCCACCGCTCCAGGCCTCGGCAAGAAACCCAAACGACACCAAAACGCCGCAGCGAGAACCGCAGCCTTCCCTCACAGGGCCGCTCTGTGGAAAAGGAAGGCGGGAAGGTTCGGCTCCTGCGGCCCGGCCCGTACCTGTGCCGAGGCCCAGCGCACCGCCCGCCCCGTGAGCTCCGCACCGCGCCGCCGCGACCGGAGGATGCCGGAAATGGCAGTAGGGCCGACGGCACGGCGGACCCTCCGCGGCGGTGAGGAAAGGGCAGTCGATGCCGCGGAAGTAACCGGTGGACCGCAGCATCCCGCCGGCCGCGGGGCGGGGAGCGGAGACGGCGCCTCCGCCTCACACCGCCGCCATCTTGGAGGCGCCGGGCCCGGCGGCGGGAAGGACCCCTGGAGAAGCCGCTGCCCGCACAGAGCTGTCCGCGGCGCTGCCTGAGCGGGGAAAAGGGCGGGAACGGGGAGGGGAAAAGGGCGGGAACGGCAGGAAAATGGCGGCCGCCTTTTCACTCAGCCCTCGTGTCCCTCCACCGGCAGGTGGAGGTTGAGTTATGCGAACAGAGTGAGGGATGGGAAGCTGAGAGCAGTTGTAGAATGGAGCCTGGGGGTTGTGGTCTGCTCAGGAGGAGCTCAGGAAGCAGTGGGACAGCATAACCATAACCAACCTCAACCCTAACCATAATCCTAAACCCTAACCATAACGAACCTCAACCATAACTGTGATCCTCAACCCTAACCATAACCCCTGCCCAAAACCAAAGCTGTTTTAACACTAATCCTAACCCAGCCCTACAACCAGCCATAACCCTGACCTTAACGCAATAACCCAAATCCAAACCCTAGCCCTGATCCTAACAAAAAGTCATATAACTGCAATCCTAATCCTGCCCCAAACCTTAGTAGCTTAACCCTAACTGTAGCCATACCCTAACCCTAACAACACCAATAACTCTAAACCTAACACTTCCCAAACCTAACCCCTAATCCTAATGCTAACCCTGACCATAACCAGAAACCCAATGACCCGAATCTCCTAACCCTAAAAACACTAACCCTGACCTTCCCCCCCCCCCAGTTCCTCATCCTAAACCCTCACCATAACCCTAATGCCCCTAATCCTGACTGAAACCCTACAATTAACCACAGCCTAACAAATCTGACCCTATCAAGAGCCTGATATCCCCAATATAACCCTAACCTCAATACTGTAGCCCCTAAAACGAACTCCTAATCCTAAACCATAACCCCAATCCTAACCCTGATGGAACCCCATCTCTCTACTATGGTGACACCTCAAAAACACCCCAAAACAGCCCAAAAAAGAGCTGCAATCAGAACACGGCAGCCATCCCCCTCCTTCCCAAAGGACCTCCCCGTGTCCCACCAGGGCCGGTCCGTGTGTGGAGCCCATAGCCCCACTCCCAAACCCCACAGAAAGACAACATTTCCATTTTTTTATGTCAGAGATAAACGTTTATTCAGTGTAACTTCAGCTCACGTAGAAACATGGCACGCAGAAACGCTGAGCAAAGCCATTTCTGTGCCCCTGTGATTTCCACCCCAATTGTGCTCAGCTCAGGTGCTGGGAAGATAATAGAATATAAAATAAAGCCACACACAAATGTATATATATATATAAAGAATTGATGGGAAATCCTCGTGGAAAGTTCTCACGTTGCAAAGCTCTGTTTGATGTTCCTGTGGTCTCAGCACAAACCCAGAGCACAGGAATGGTGTCACCAGAGTTTGTAAGGCTATGAAGAGAGGGGGAAATGGGTGGGAAAAGGGAAGGAGGAAAGAAAAAGGAAAAAGAGGAAAGGGGGAAAGAAAAAGGGAAAAGGAAAATGGAAATGGGAAAAGGGAAATGGAAAGGGAAAAAAGGGAAAGGGGAAATGGAAAAGGGAAAAGGGAATAGGAAGAAGGAAAAGGAAAAATGGAAATGGGAAAAGGGAATAGGAAAAGGGAAAGGGGGAATGGGGAAAAGGAAAAAGAGAATGGAAATGGGAAAAGGGAAAGGGGGAAAGAAAAAGGGAAAAGGAAAATAGGAATGGGAAAAGGGAAATGGAAAAAGGAAAAGGGAAAAGAAAGGGAAAAGGGGAGGGGAAAAGGGAAATGGAAGAGGGAAAGTGGAAAAGGAAGGGGGAAAGAAAAAGGAAAGGGAAAATAGAAAAGGGGAAAAGGAAAGGAGATGGAAAGAAAAATGGGAAAGAGAAAAGGGGGAAATGGAAAGGGAAAAAAAAGAGGGAACAAAAAAGTGAAAGGGGAAAGGGAAAAAGGAAGAGGAGCAATGCTTGGAGAAAAGGTGATTTCAAAAGGTGATTTCTCAGAGCTGCCAAAACATCCTGCTGCAGGGTCAGTAGAGGGGATACATGACCCATTCCCCCCGCCCTGGTCCCCCCACCGAGCATCCCTCCAACCCTTTGGATGCCCCCAGCCCCCAGGGATGCTCCCAGCACCCCCAGCCCCACAGGCTCCTTGTCCAGACGTATCGCTGCAGGGCCGTGGCAGCAGCCCGTGGGCCTCCCTTCACCGTCCCAGCCTCCAGGCATTGCTCAGGCATAGGATGACAAAGGGAAGCTCACAGGAGCGAGGGGCTGCACTGCTCCGGGGACAGGGTGTGCTCCTGCAGAGGGAGGAGAGAAGTGAGCTGGGAGGGGAGCAGGGCTGTGGGGATCCCCCAAACCACACTGCTTCCACGGGGGGGGTGAGCTCAGTGCCACCCCACAGCCCTGGGGTTGGTTTGGGACATGGGGGTGGGCAGTGCTGGGTTCCGAGGGGTTGGGTGTGAGCGTGGGTTTGCAAAGCAAAGAGAGTGAGTGGGGCATCAAAGGGCAGCGTGGGGGAATGTGTGCGTGTACGGCTGTGTGTGTGCACCCATGTGGGTGTGTGTGCAGGCTGTGCAGGTGAGCTCACCTGCCCGTTCAGCAGTGGGTGCATCCCTGCGTGCACACAAGTGGGTGTCCCATGGCTGCAGCTCCCCAGGACCCCACAGGGCTCCCCAAGGCCACCCCCATCCCCATGCTGTGCCCCTGTTCCACCAGAGCCTCTCTCTAGGTGCAGCCATGGGCACAGGGATGCTCACGATGCTGTCCTCACCCCAGCCATCCCTTCCAGCCCCATCGCTGCCTCACTCACCTGGTGGGGCCTGCTGCAGAGCATCCTTGTCCTCTCTTTTCCCCTTCCCTCCATCCCATCCGGCGCTGTGCTGAGCCCTGCTCTCCTTCCTCTGTCCCCCTCCCCACTCCCAACCTGAGCACTATGGGCTCCGTCCCCGCCATCCTTTTATACCATCTTTGTTCATATGACGAGCACGTGAAAAAAACAGAGCAGAGCTTGGAAAAAAAGCTCCTTAAGACGCTTTAATTCAGTTTCCTGGATCCCATGACTGAGCTCGGACTCTGAGCGGGGTCCCATGACCACAGCACGCAGGCCCCGGCCATCAAAAGGCTCCTTTATGCACCAAAGACTTAAACCCCTCTTGGCTGAGACCCCCAGGCTCCCCATGCCCAGCTTGAGCTGCATCCCCCCCACACCTGGGGATGTGTCCCATTGCCCTTTTTGTGGGGATGCTGTGCCCGGGGACCCCTCATGTGGGTCTGGCTCCTGCACTGTGGGGACCCCACACCTCCCTCCTCCCATCACTGTGTGCAGCATTGGGCCCAGACCCTCAGCCCACTGATGGGACTCCCTTTAAAGGAGCACAGCCCACACCTCCCAGTTGGCTCTGGACTTTAGGGGCAGGGCTGAACTTTTCTGCCTTTTTGTTCTTCTTTTTCAACTCGAGACACCACAAACGCAGCCACAATTTGCCCTGAGGACCCCCAGAACCCAACCCCAAGACATCCTGCCGGCGATGTGGGGCTGCTCCAAAGCACCCACAGCTCAACAGGCAGTGCTAAGAGGATAAAAATACACCCGGTGCACACAACAACGCCTCTGTGTTGGGATTAGGGCGCTGCTCCAGCCCTGCTCCTCAGGGTCAGGGCAGTGAGGAGCAGGACTGGGTGACTGCAGTGCTTCCAGCACATGTGAAACTGTGTCTTAACAACCACCCAGCACTTGTGGGTGGCACAGGAGGTCCTGGGGAAAGAAGAAGGGTTTGTGGGAGCAGGGACCCCTGTGGCCCCACCTCAGCCCTAACCAAAAAGGCACATGGCAGTGCTCTGAGTGTGAGGCCCCACCGAGGGCAGCTTAGTGAGATTATTGCTCCTCACATGAGCTTGCAGCCCCACAGCAGGGAGGAGGGGACAGGGAAATGGCTGGGAGCCCCACGTGAGGTTTTGCTGCCCCATAGGTCGGTGCAAGATGATTTCAGGGCTGTTCCGGGACCCACGTGCTTCTTTCCTCACCTGCTGGTGCCGCAGGGCTGGAGCTGGGGATGAGTTCAGGGCCCAGCAAACACACATCTCAGCCAGGAGAGCAGGGGACCAGAGCCCCAGCCCCCAGCAGAAGGGCAACACTGGTAAAACTCTAAACCTCAGCTCTTTATTTGGTGCCTGGTTTCCTCACCCCGCTCTGAGGGGACGGAGAGGGAAGGAGTGTCACAGAAAGACACGGGGAGTGCTCTGAGAAGGCAGAGCGGGGCTGAGCAGAGGGGTGTGAGGAGGGGGGGCACCTCCTCCACACATCCCCAACCCCCCCTTGGGACACAGCTCTGCCCCAGGCAGGGAGCAGCACCCGGCATCTGCTGTAACTCCAGCACAGAAGGAGCTGTGCCCTCCTCTGCCACGCAGTGACACCAGGGACAGGCTCACCCTGCGGCTGCTCCCAGCCCAACTCGCCTTATTGCTATAGTGGGAGCAGCAGAGCAGCCGGGAGGAATTCAACAGTTCATTGTTTCAGGAGAGGGGATGAGGACGTGTCCGAAGCTGAAGATTCACCATCAGGAGGGGCTCTGCTCTGCCCAGGGGAGAAGGAGCGAGCTGCCCTCTCCTGCCTGCCCAGCTGTGATGCCAGCAGCACCAGGTGACGCAGGGAGGGAGGAGAGCTGTGCTGCATCCCACAGAAAACACACTGTCTGCTCAAGGCTCCCGAGGCTGGAGCTGTAGAAACCCACTGTGCCTCCAGCAGCAGGGACTGGGAGCGCTGGGAGAACTGGACAAACACGTGACAACCCCCACCCTGCCCCATCCTCCGGCTAGTTGCGTTGGCTGGCCAGCTCCTGGGAGATGAATTTCCGAAGGCGCTCGAGGTACTGGCTGTAGAGTTCAATGTCATTGTGCCCGGCCCCATCCACCCACAGTGGCTCCACAGCTTTGGGACAGCGTTCAAAGAGCGCCAGGCCGTGGGAGAAGTCGATGACTTCATCCTCGGTGCCATGGATGATGAGGACAGGAGAGGTGATTTTCGAGATCTTCTCAATGCTGCCAAGAAAATGGGAGAGATGACAAAGGGGGGTAAGTGCAGGGATCGAGGCAGCCCCACCCCTCCTGCCCCCTAAAGCACAGCCCCCCGGGGAAAGGCAGCAGGAAATGCTCTTTGATCGCAGCAGAGCATGGGGATGTGGAGCTCCTGCCAGCGCTGAGATCGCCGCCAGAGCAACAGATGAGGACAAGAGAGCAATGACAGCAGCCCCGTGGGACCCAGGCAGGGCCGAGGGAAACCGCCCCCAGACAGTGCGATCCTACATTGGGATCAACCGTGCCTGGCAAGCGTGGCCAGTCCCATCCCAGTCCCCAGGGCCCAGGACACAAAGGCCAAGCGAGGCCATCGGGATGCAGTGCGTGGGCTGGTGGCTCCCAGCCACACTTTGCAGCTCAGGGACCGTCCTGCTGGCCTGGCTGCAGGGGAGAGGCAAAGCAAGAGCTCGCTGCACCCCTGCCTGCAGACACCACCTCTGCCCTTCTCAGGGTGTGGGGAAAAATGCTCCAAATGCTGCCCTGGTGGGAGAGACCGCCCAGGAACCTCCAGATGGCACCCAGGGGGGCAGGGAGGTAGCTGGTGGGAAGGAATGAAGGCACAGCATGGCTGGGAGGTGACACCACCAGGGAATGCCAGGAGCCCTCAGGAGGGGTTACAGGTCCCAGCATGGGGACCGCATGTAATGCAGGAGGGTCCTGGTGGGCAATTTAAGGCGATCACAGCTCCCCGATTTTCCCCATAACCCCTCTGCACAGACAGGGCTGGCACCCAGGACTGTCCCCAGTCCTTTCTCCTAAGGCACTCACTTGGGGAAGGCATCAAACCAGTAGGTCTTCTTGGTCTCAGGGAAGGCGACTCTCATGCCGGAGGTGAGCGGGGAGTGGAGCACGATGGCAGCGCACTCATAGCGGGACGCCAGGTCAACGGTGGGCACTGTGCCAATGCTCTGTCCGTACAAAATGATGTTCTCCGGGCTGATCCCATACCTGGGGGAGGAAAGGGCAGGGCCCAAGCATCAGGAACATTGCCATCACCAGGAGCTGCAGCCCAAAACTCACCCTGCACTGGTCACAGCATGCTGCAGAGTGGAAATGGGGCTCTGTCCCCCTCTGCCTTCCCTCAGCTCTTCCAGGCTGGGCACGAAGCAGCTGCTCTGCTCCCCCAGCTGCTTGCAAACACTGTAGCAATTAGCATTAATTAAGAGTTGCACATTGTTTTCCCAGACACGGTGCTGACCTCAGGGAATGCATGTCTAGGAGACAGAGGGGCCGTACCCACCGTGGCCTCTGGGAGCAGCCTGGGCTGAGCTGCTGGAAGAGCCGTGGGGTGTCAGGGCTCAGCCCCAATGGGAGCAGGGCTATGGGGGGGGGGGGGCACAGCCCTGCAGGGCAGCACACAGCTCCTGTGTGAGCCAGGAGTGCCTGTAGGGGTAAAGAGGCACAGGGCTGCAGAGCTGGAACACGGCGCATGCCAGTGGAGGGGAGCACCACACCCCCATGATACTGAGCAAGGTCATTCCACGTAGCATCCAGGCCCCCCCACAACAGCTTTCCGGCCCCCCCTTCCCGTTACCAGCATCCCAGGCCCCTCTCAGGGACATTTCCTGTTTTCCAGACCGCCGTCCTGACGGGTTCTTCCTGCAGCCAAGTGTGCCCAGCCCCCCCAGCCCCACACACACAGCACCCGCACCCACACCACAGACACCTCCGTGCTCATCGCTGCATCGCAGCAGTGACAGACAGCATCCCACCTCCCACACCCACCGGGGGGGGGGGACACACAGACAACCACAGCCAGCACACGAGCAGCAGCACAGCGCTCAGCCCCCATCCTGCCCAGCTCACCGTGTCCGCAGCGCCTGCCACGCCGCGTCGATGTCGGAGTAGAGGTTCCTCTCTGAGGGTTTCCCCGTGCTCGCACCGTAGCCCGAATAGTCGTAGGAGAAGATGTTGCAGTTGATGCGCGTGCCCAGCCCGATGTAGAAGCTGCTCATCTGCCCCAGGTCCACTGCGTTGCCGTGGGAGAAGAGCACCGTGTACCTGCAGCACCAGATGGGTGTGGAGGGTTAAGTTAGGGGCTGAAATCACAGCATGTAAAGGGACAAAGGAATGGCCTTGAGATGGTCCCAGCCTTGGAGATGCCCTGACTTTCCTCACCGCTGGGGCTTGCTACCAGCAGAAACCAACAGCCCGATGCCTCTGTTGGAGTTTTTGAGTCTATTTTTGGTTTTAAAAAAAAAAAAAAAGCTCACAATTTGGGGCCGTTTGCCCGATGGGGATTTTAAGTAATAATTCTGACAGCAGATTTTTTTTCTCTCCTGAGTCTGGCAAGACACCAGACCTTGGGAGAGAAGTGAATTGTGGGAGTGACAAGGCACAAGAAATTTCCACCATAAGGGGAAAAACAATGTTCATCATCAAAATTAACACGAACAGCGTGCTGATGGAAGCTCAGCTCTCCTCTGCTGGGGGAGGCGGCACGGCCCACTCCTCCCTGAACCCCTCACAATGGGGGAGATGCCTCTGATTCAGCACCTTTCAGCTCCCAGCGGTTGGTGATCAGAGAGCAGAGAGGACACGCAGCACTACAGCAGGGTGAGGGGGAACTCAGCCCCTTTATCCAGGAGCAGAAAGTGAAAACAATGCTTTACAGTGGAAGAAACGCTCAGCAGAGCTAAAGCATGGGGACAGCAGGTTGAGGGAGCCCTGGAAAGCAGGCCCACAGCTCAGCCCCAACAGCTGGATGCTACTGGACCACCCCACCGTGGGGATCAAGTTGTCCCTGGCAGGAAGGCAGCAGCAGGATGGAGACGGGACCTTCCTGGGCCTGTGTGTCATTCACCACTTCCGCAGGCAGATGGGGAGCAGGCCAGCAGCGGATGTGCAGGCAGAGCAATCCTGTGGCTGTTTCCTCTCTCTGGAGACATGCAGCAGGACAGGACGGGAGCAGACATCCCTACCAAGCAGCCTGGATGTGCCAGGTATACCTGCAGGTGCACCGCTCTGCGTTGCGTGGGGCCAGGCAGGGTGATGCAGGCTTTGCAAAGCCCAAACTTAGCTCTGCTCCACTCCACATCTGGGCCTCCTGGAGGCAGTGGTGACAGCGCTGTCACAGCGAGGACAGTCCGTGCATGTGCTGCTCTGGAGCTCCATGCGTGCTGTTGACACAGGGAGCAGCTGCTGTGCTCCCCCCAGCACCCACCCAACCCAGGGGTCTCCGGCCCACGCCCCGCACTGCCCCTCGCCAGCTGTCCCAGCAGATCCCAGCAAGCTGCCATGGATTCCTGGAGGCTCCAAGCAAAGCATCTCACTCTGCTTTCCATGGGTGTACACATTCCCACAGCCCCTCAGACTCCGCATCCTCCCTTCCCAACAGAACGATTCCAAATCAAGCTCTCCCTCCCTTATAGACGTATCTATGGTGGTCTGTGGCAAGCTGTACCTAAATCCCTTCCGGCTTCCAATCCTATTGCTCTTCTCTTTGCAAAAATCAAACGTGCCCAGTAAGTGAGAGAACCATGCAAACACAGCTTGCTTCAGGGCTGCGGGTGTCTCCCGGCTGAGGGCTGCAGACCATCCCCGTGGTCTTTGTAGGGCCAGGAGCTCGCTTGGGCTCTACAGAAGCTTTGCACAGACGCTGGGCACGCAACCGGAGCATGACATCACCAGCGTGACATCAGAAGGGCATCTTGAGGACAGCAAGCCAGGAGGGGACGCCGAGGTCCCCATAGCCTGCGGCTGCGCCCCGACTCCCTCCCTCAACCTGTTCAGTCCCATTCCCATTCCAGCCACAAGCCAAACAGGTTCCAAGAGCTGAGCTCACCCGCACTGCAAGGCACCTCCGAACCCCGCAGCACGGCGCCGGGTCGGGCAGGGCAGGGAGGCGGCAGCCAGCAGGAGCCCCTGGCCCACCACTCACCTGGCTCCTGGCACGCAGCGGACGTACATGCAGCCGATGCGGTTCCCTCGGCTGCTTTTGGTGACAAACACCTCGATGTTGTCCAGCTCTCGTTGGGAGTACTGGAAATCCGCCCGGTCCTTCAAGTGCAGCTTCCACCGCCCCGCAGCGCCGCCTCGGAGGGACCCGGTGCTGGTGCTGCCGATGGGCTCCGGCTCGGGGACCACGGCGTAGGTGGGCTCCGGGGGGAGGAACGCCAGCTTGGCGGCGATGCGGCTGGGGCAGGGAGGGCAGCAGAAGAGGCAGCAGAGCTGGCTGATCGACAGCCCGTTCATGACGGCAGATTCAAGGCTGTGCTGGGAGCGAGGGAGGATCTGAAGCAGTGCTGGGAGGCCCCGTCCTTATCACGGCTGCCATGGGGCAGCCTGCAGTCCTTCACGGGTCGGGGCGGCCGCCATCCGTGTGCCTGCAGGCAGCCTGCAGAGAGGGCACGCGTGTGGGCACAACCCACCGCCATCCCAAGCCGAAGGCTGTGCCATGCCCACGCTTCTGACACCCCCATCCTCCTATTCAGCCCCCCCACCCCAAACCTTCCAAGCATCCCAGCCCACGCACAGCCCTGCAGCCCGGTAAGCACAGGACTGGGATCACAAACAGCTGCACGTGCAGCGCTGCCCCTCAACCCCCCCAGATGCTGGTGAGGGCCTCAATGCACGCGTGTGCAGCTGGAGCACAGAGCTCCCAAATGAAAGAAAAGGGGAGGGGGGGGGAGGCGGGGGGAAAAGGGGAAAGGAGGAAGGAAAAAAAAAAAAAAAAAAAAAAGCGACTATTTTCTGCAAGTTTGGGCACAGGCTCGAGGCTGAGGAATGTCAAAGCAGCCCACACCCCGCGGAATCCGCTCCATCTGCCTCCGAAGGGCTGGGAAAGAGGAGGGAAGGGTGGAGGGGGAGGTTCAGCCTTGAGGGGGGAGGGCGCACACACACACACGGCGATATTTGGAGCAAAGGGACTCCGCTCCCCCCTGCCCACCCCCTGCAGGCTGCGTGCTGGGATCCCTCTGTGCGCACACCTGCAGGGACGCGCAGGCTGTGTGGCAGGGCCAGGCGTGCGGTGCACACACGTCTGTGCTTGCACACGCCGGGTGTCACGCACACGCCTGTTCGGTGCCCTCACCTGTGTGTCACCGCACGGCCTGGGGGGGTGGGGGGGTGGTGGTGGTGGGGGGTTCAGTCCTTGCTGTGTGCGAACATGACAGCCACGCTGACCAGCGCTGCTGGTGCTGGGGGGGCACAACCACACCACACAGACATCACAGTGGTGAGGGGGGGGGGGTTGGGGAGACACCCCCATCGCTCGCATTGCTTAGCTGCGGG